TTCTGATCTCTCTCAAGACTGGTGGTTTCACCTAATTTCTCATTTAAAAGATTCCTATTAGAAACATATCTCTCTACTGTTGATACAATATTATAATGAAGGCTTTCTTTCATGTCTTCCTCCTTAGACAGCCTAGTTTTTTACTGCTATCTGCTATCAGAGCAGACACATTATCTGCTGTCTGCATTTGATATAAATATATTATCTTCCACTTGTCTTCCCTTACTCCCTCATTTTCCACAACTCCCTCCAATGCAGCCAAGTGAGCCTACTTAACTATCCCTCATGCCCGTGTCCTCTCCTAATCAGATTTTCCACACTCACTTTAAGATGATGATCATATAAATCATCCTAAAGCAAAGTCAGAATTATCAATATAGATAAATAGACATAGCATTCTATCTATCAGTCTATCTAGTGGTATGATATTAAGATGACATGAACTGTCTGCTAAGTGACATACTTTTCTGCATGCAGGAGATACAGAATAGAAAGAAAGACCATCTCTGCCTTCAAGAAGCTTTCAGTGTAGTATTAGAATCCAGCACCCTATCTTTGGAAACCATTTGTAAAGCTTTTAGGGAAAATGTCATATATAATAGACAGTTAAAAACAGTCTATTATTATAATAATCATAGCATTGGAAAGGAGATTAGATAATTACTATACCTGAAAGTAAAAAAATTTTTTATAGTTTACTTATTTTGAGGGAGGGAGAGAATCCTAGGTAGGCCCTGTGCTGACAGCATGGATGTGGGGCTCAATCCCATGAACCATGAGATCACGACCAGAGGCGAAATCAAGAGTCAGATGCTTAACTGACTGAGCCACCCAGGCACCCCTGAAAATAAAATTTGATTGTGACTCATATGTTGAAGTAAAAAAAGAAACATGATATTCGACATATATCTCATTGTCTGATAAAGGAAGCCTATCACTTTTTCGAGAAAAGACAAACTATTTTCCTGGTATTAAATTTTAAAGGGATGTGTTGCAGGTATCCTTATATAGTGGCATTTAGAAACATAATAGTGTCTTCTTCAGTAGTTCTGCATAAAATGTAATTATCCTTCATGTAAGCATTTCAGATATATATCAAAAAACCCAAAGCTAAAGTCTTAACTTTCAATCAATAAAAACTTTTTTTTTATTTTTTAAGATTTTTTTGTTTGTTTTTAAGTAATCTTTGTACCCAATATGGGGCTCAAATTCACAATCCTGAGATCAAGAGTCACATGCTCCACCAACTGAACTAGCCTGGCACCCCCAGTCAATAAAAACTTTGTATATGAAGCCAAGTTAATATATTCAATGATTTTCTGGTATTCCAAGTAGCTGTAGAGCTAGAGTCTAGACCACATAAAAGGCTAACTTGATATCACGTTTTTAGAAAGTGAGAGAACAAATGCCTTATCAGTTATCAATCATCCTCACTTTAGAGATGAATAGGATAATAACTTAAGATGTAGCTTTTTGCTTAGTATCTTAAGGACCATATTCAATGTTGTTGGTTGATACAAGATCTAGATCTACATGCTTTATATATTTAGATAGTCATTTACTTATTGTCTGTAATTGCTTTCATGCAACAGTGACAGAGTTAAGCAGTTGTGACAGAGACAGTCTGACCTGCAAATCCTGATAATTTACTTCCCAGTCCTTTACAGAAGAAGTTTGCCAACCCTGCATTAGGCCGTTATGAAGAATTATAAGCAGAATGAGGCAAGGCCCTTCTTCTTCCTTGTGTTGCTTTTGCATATTTCTCATGCAAAGGAATGGAAATGGCCCACCTCTCGTATGTGTAATTCTTGTTCCCTGCCCCAGTTCTCTTCGTGCTGCTCTTACCATGTAGCTGCACTAACTGACAACACCCCAGCATGAACAGGGACCTAGGGTTTGCTATTTGTTGAGTGGAAAGGCATGTGAGGGAGATCATGATAACTTGAGAGATTGTGCTATGGTAGTTAAAGATCAAGTGAGGACCAGATTATGGTCCCTTAATTCTCAGAACATAGTTCTGAGGGTGTTTGGGTGGTTTAGTCTGTTAATGATCTTGTGGTTTGTGAGTTCAGGCCCCATGTTGGGCTCTGCACTGACAGTGACAGTGTTGGGAGTGACAGCCTCTCTCCTTCCTCTCTGCCCCTCCCTCACTTGCTCTCCCGCCCCCTTCAAAATAAATAAATTAAAAAAAAATCTATCTATCTATCTATCTATCTATCTATCTCATTCTGGGTATGTATGGATGGAAAAGAGAAGAGATAAGTGTTCTGTGTCATCTCCTCATATCCTGTTTGGTTGGAAACAAATTTCCAAAGAAGGGAACAATGTTGGCAAGTGGGATCAGAGAGGAAACATGGACATCACAAGAAATATTCAGTCAGGCAAGAAGCCCTTAGCAGTAGAATTATTTAAATTTATATACGGTAAAACCTTGGATTGCGAGTAACTTGTTCTGTGAGTGTTCTGCAAGCGAGCAAACATTTCTAATAAATTTTAACTTGATAAATGAGTGATATCTTGCAATACGAGTGGTACGTGATGCCGAATGTCACATGATCACAACTGAGCCAATGGTTCTTTCTTGCTTGCTGTGGAATTGTGGTGATCGTCTCCCATGTTCAGGTGCTCAGTCTCAGGCTGTAGTGTTTGGCAGAAATCAGTGATTTTCAGAATGTTGGAAGGTGCCCACAACTGGCATTAGTGTATTTTTTGTCACTTCAAACCACCTATGGACAGTCCTTTGCTTTTCCATACAAGAGTAAGCTTAGGAATGCTTTGCTTCATTCTAGGTCAGGCTGCCCGCAGATATAGACCCTTTCCTCTGCTGCCTTATTGCCAGTTGGATTAAATACAATATATGGCAAGAGTTTATTAATACTATACTGTAGTCAACATCCATGCAAGCATATACAATGACCCTGATGCAGAAAAAGATTCCATTGAGCCAGTACATAACAGTGATTCCATTAGTGATAGTGAAAGTCCTGCACAATAACCCTCCTCTCTCTTATCTCCCTCACACAAGCCATGAAGGTTTTTAAAAATAAGTACAGGTTAATGTGTTTATTTTTCTTTATATTTTGTATTTTCTTAATTATTTTGTGTTCTATTACAGTATTGTAATCATTTTTGTATGAATATTTTTGGGTTGTGGAACAAATCATCTGAGTTTCCATTATTTCTTGTGGGGAAATTCGCTTTGATATACAAGTGCTTTGGATTATAAGCATGTTTCCAGAACGAATTATGCTCGCAAGCCAAGGTTTTACTATACTTTGAAATATAACTGAGTTCCCACCTCTATTGTAATCAGGCACACTTGTAGTCATGGTGTTCTTTGTATCTAGTGAGCTAGAGTTATGCCTAACTTTTGATTTTGGATATTTGGTTTGCTGTTGGTTTCCAAACCTCTCTTACCTTAATCTCCAAAATCTGGTTCATTGATCATTTGCTTTTTGGCCCCTATATCTCTGCCTTGAGTTCTGAGTTTGCAGACCTTTAATTAACTTAGCCTGTTTGAAAGCTATGGGCTCCCTAAATTCTGCTGTGTCTTTCTGGTTCTTAGGTTCTTGGCTTATACCTGACAACTGCTACTTACGGTTCCTGTAGCCTGAACCTCTGGGCTTTGGTCCTGTGGATTGCTTTTGAATCCAGATAAACCACAATCACTGATGCACTGATTAGACCCTAACACTTGCCCACTGTTCTCTAAGTTCTGAACCTCTATCTTATCTGACCCTGTTGTTTCTTGTGTCCTACAGTGAACACAAAATACTTCATTAAAAATAATTGGACCTGTTTATTCCGATCTTCATTTGAACTGCATCCTGTCTGTTGATACACTGGCCAGATAACTCTTCATTAAACTTTCAACAGTAGTGTTTGAGTTCTCTCTGAGTTCTGTGTCAATGATGATAATTTTTGTATACTGGTACTCTTTTAATTTTTCTATTTTGGCAAGAGAATATTAAAATTTTTAATTTATTTTTTTCTATTTTTCAACCTCTTATTGGTTTAGCTGGTTCCTATATTTAATTTAAAGTTAGGCTTATGTGATTTTATACAAAATCAACATACCCAGAAATTCAAATATAGGGACCTCAAACTTTTTTTTTTAATGTGTATTTATTTTTTTGAGAGAGGGAGGGAGACACAGAATCCCTCTCTCATGTTTTTGAGAGAGACAGACAGAGTGTGAGTGGGCAGTGAGAGAGAGAGAGACACACAAACACAGAATCTGAAGCAGGCTCCAGGCTCTGAGCTGTCAGCACAGAGGCCGACACAGGGCTCAAACTCACGAACCATGAGATCATGACCTGAGCCAAAGTTGGACACTTAACCAACTGAGCCACCCAGGCGCCCCTAAACTTTTAAGTAAATAAGACTAGTAAATAGGACTAAAATTTAAGTAAACAAGACTAGTTTTTAAAAAACATTTCAATTGTAATGTTGTAACATCTTAAAACCATAATAAAAATGTTAATATTTTTCATATTTCTGTTTAGTTTTAATATTATAATAGTTTTATTTGTAGCAAACATCTAAAGATCACACCTTGTCATCATTCATGGTAACTTAGTCTCTGGTTTGATTCCCAATATTCTTTCTGAAGATTAAAGTTGAGAGGCACCTGGGTGGCTCAGTTGGTTAAGCGTCGGACTCTTGGTATGGGCTCAGGTCATGATGTTACATTTCTTGCTGACAGCCTGGGAGCCTGCTTGCGATTCTCTCCCTCCCTCTCTCTCTGCCCTTCCCCCACTCACACTGTCTCTCTCAAAGTAAATAAACTTAGAAAAAAAGATTAAAGTTGATATTATTTGAAAAAATTACCTAGTAAGCTCTCATGGGATTTACAGAGTCTGACTTTGGCACTGACAAACTGAAGTGAGCTGTATACCCAATTTAAACAATTCAGAAGGTACGTTTATAGGTTTCAGAGTTCTAAGAACAAGCCCAGTTTCACTTATTAGAGCATATCTTTATTTTTTACCTGCTTCTAGGGTTACAGGTGAAGTAAAGCACAACATCACCAATACTGTGGTATGCAGAGTGCAAGGCGAATGGAATAGTGTTCTTGAGTTCACTTATAGCAATGGAGAGACAAAGTATGTGGATTTAACGAAGTTGGCAGTAACAAAGAAAAGAGTAAGACCTCTGGAGAAGCAAGATCCATTTGAATCCAGGTATGTTATCCTTACATCCATACAAGAGTCAGAAGCTCTGGATCTTAATCGAAGCCTTTTCACTAATTTGCAACCTTAGGCAGGTCACTTCACCAGTTTGCATTTGTAAGCTGGGCAAAAATATTACAATATTTAATAGTCAAAAGATTACTATCCTTATCATAAAAACGTTTACAAATTATTAACAAGAAAATAGGTACCCCATTAGAAAAATGGACAAAGGACATAAAGAGGCAGTTCATAAAAGGAGAAAAAAAATGTCCACTAAGAAAATGAAAAATAGTGGTTGCTTCTGGAGAGGAGTACTGGGATGTAGGATAGGAAAGAGACTTAATCCTTCATAGAATCCCCTTTTGAATTATTTAAATTTTATATCCTGTGGAAGTATTGTTGTATCAATTTAAAAAAGAAAAAGTGAAATACAAGGAAGCATTAAACATCTTAAGTTCAGATCATGTAAGTAGAACTAAACTATTTATTACTATATACACAAAGGAATTAAATACCCATTAACCAAAGACTCAGATTGCATTTAGAAATAAAACAGTAATGACTGGGGAAAATTTTTCTTTTGGAGTTTATCCTAAAGGAGAAGTTGTTTTTATTTTATTTTAATTCCAGTATAGTTAACATACATTGTGAAATTAGTTTTAGGTGTACAATATAGTGATTCAAAAGGAGAGGTTCTTAAGGTTTGGTCTATGGACCCCCTACGGTCCTTGAGATTTTTTAACAAGGTTTATAAGTTCAATTTTATTTTCATAATAATGCCAAGATGCTATTTGCCCTTTCATTCTGTTGGCACTTGCACTGATGGTGCATCAGCAGTTGTGGGTAGCGCTGCTGGGCCTTAGAGTAATCAAGGCAGTGGCACAAAACTGTACACAGTCATTGTGTTCTTCACTGCCCATGTACTTGCATTTTTTTTAAGATGCCAGGGTTTTTAAAAAAAAAAAGTCCTTGAAAAAGCAGTATAGATTGTTAGTTTTATTAAATCTGTATCATTGAGGACCCATCTTTTTACTATTCTACATGACAGATTGGGAGTATGCATAAAGCACTGCTGGTAGATATTGAAGTACGGTAGTTATCTGGAGGAAAAGCACTTGTGCAGTTGTTTGAGTTATAAGCTGAACTAATTTCTGTTTTCGTAAAACACCATTTCTACTTAAATGAATGGCAAACCATGACTATTCTAATTTCAGTATTGGGCAGACATTTTTCTTATAAATAGATGATCTGAACATGGCACTTCAAGGAAAACAATTGGCAGTATTTTTGGCTAATAATAAAATTTAAATGGAAACGACGTATGGATTAAAGACCTCAATATGAGACCTGAAACCATAAAAGTCCTAGAAGAGAGCACAGGCAGTAATCTCTCTGACATCCATAGCAACATTTTCATAGATATGTCTCCTGAGGCAAGGGAAATAAAAGCAAAAATAAACTATTGGGACTACATCCAAGTGAAAAGTTTCTGCACAGCAAAGGAAACAATCAACAAAAATGAAAGGCAGCCTACTGAATGGTAGAAGAAATTTGCAAATGACGTATCCAATAAAGAGTTAGTATCTAAAATATATAAAGGACCGATACAACAAGTGTTGGCGAGGATGTGGAAAAAAAGGAACCATTGTACATGGTTGGTGGGAATGCAAACTGGTGCAGCCACTATGGAAAACAGTATGGAGTTTTCTCAGAAAATTAAAAATAGAACTACCCTATGATCCAGTAATCGCACTATGGGGTATTTACCCCCAAAATACAGAAACACTAATTCAAAGGGGTACATGCTTACATATGTTTATAGCAGTATTATTTACAATAGCCAAACTATGGAAGCAGCCCAAGTGTCCATCAATAGATGAATGGATAAAGAAGATTTGGTTATGTGTATGCAATGGAATATTATTCAGCCATAAAAAAGAATGAAATCTTACCATTTGCAATGACATGGATGGAGCTGGAGAGTATAATGCTAAGCAAAGTAAGTTAGTCAGAGAAAGACAAATACCATATGATTTCATTCGTGTGTGGAATTTAAGAAACAAATGAGCAAAGGGAAAAAAAGACAAACCAAGAAACAGACTCTTAGCTATAGAGCACAAACTGATGGTTACCAGAAGGAAGGGGACAGGGTTGGAGAAATAGAAGATGGGGATTAAAAAGTACACTTATCATTATGAAAAAATAAATAAAATTAAAAAATAAAATAATAAAAAGGTATAGGTGGGAGACAGTGGAAGATAGTAGATAGATAGATAGACAGTCAAGAAGGTAGGTAGATAGGAAGAAGCAACCTAAGTGTCCATCACAGATGAATGGATAAAGAAGTTGTAGTATATAGGGGCACCTGGCTGGCTGAGTTGTAAGAAAATGCAACTCTTGATCTCAGGGTTGTAAGTTTGAGCCCCATGTTGAGTGTAGAGATTACTAAAAAAATATTTTTAAAAAACTTAAAAAAGAAGTTACAGTATATATATATATACAGTGGAATTTTATTCAACCATAAAAAAGAAGGAAACCTGCCATTTGTGACAACATGGATGGACCTTGAGGGTATCATGCTAAGTGAAATAAGTCAAAAAGACAGATACTGTATGATCTCACTTATATGTGCAATCTAGGGGTGCCTGGGTGGCATCTGGCTCTTGGTTTCAGCTCAGGTCATGATCTCACAGTTATGGGTTCAAGCCCCACATCAGGCTCTGCACTGTCAGTGGGGAGCCTGTTTGGAATTCTCTCTCTCTTCCTCTCTTTTTGCCCCTCCGTGCTCACTCTCTCTGTCTCTCAAAATAAATAAATAAACTTCAAAAAATAAAATATTCTTTTTTCAACTACGTATCAGTGTGAGGCCAGGTTTTCTTTATATACTTTAACTAAAACAACATATCACAACAGACTGAATGTAGAAACAGCTATAAGAATCCAGCTATATTAAAGCAGATTTTTTTAATGTTTATTTATTTATTTTGAGGGGGGGGGGGCAAAGAGAGGGACAGAGAATCCCAAGTAGGCTCCACTCTTGTCAACACTGAGCCTGACACGGGGCCCAGTCTCATGAAATGTGAGATCATGACCTGAGCTAAAAGCAAGAGTTGGACGCCTAACCTACTGAGCCACCCAGGCACCCCTAAAGCAGATGTTTAAGAGATACTGCTGGATTCTCTTTGCTAAAATTTTATTAAGGATATTTTATATCTACATTCATGGGGGGTATTGGTTGGTCTATTGTCTTCTTTAGGGAAAGGTTTTTAGCTACAAATTCAATATCTTGATATTGAGATTGGCTTGAGTGAACTTTGGCAGTTTGTGTATCTTTCAAGAAATTGATTCATTTAATCTAATTTGTCGAATTTATTGGCATATAAGTTATATTCCCTTAGTTTTCTTTTAATGCGTGTAGGATCTGTAGTGATGTCCCTACTTTAATTCTTCATGTTGGTAATATTTTCTTTTCCTAATCAATGTGATTAAAGATTTATTAATTTTACTCAGAAAACTAGTGTTTGGTTTCATTGGTTTTTGTCTGTATTTCTATTTTCTTCATTGATTTCTGCTCTTTTTTATTTCCTCTTTTCTGCTTACTTGGTGCATCATTTGCTCTTCCTTTTTCTCATTTCTTAAAAGGGAAGCTTGTGTCAGGGGTCAGCACACTTCTATAAAAGGCCAGAGAATAAATATTTTAGGCCTAATGGGCCAGATAGTCTCTACCACAACTACTCAACTCTACTACTGTAGCATGAAAGCAGCCACAAACAGTGAAAGGATAGATAGATATTCCTATGTTACAATAAAAATCTATTCACAAAAATGGGCAGCCAGCCATAGTTGTCTGACCCCTGATTAGGCCATTGTTTTTCCTTTTTCCCTAATATATATATTTAATATATTTCTAAGTCTGCTTTGTCTATATCTCACAACTTTCGAATTCTTGATATATATTTTCTAATTTCCCTTGTGACTCATGAAGTTATTTAATTTTTTTTTTTTAATGTTGGTTTTTGAGAGAGAGGAACACAAAGTGTGAGCAGGGGAGGAGCGGAGAGGGAGGGAGACACAGAAAGAATCCAAAGCAGGCTCCAGGCTCTGAGCTGTCAGCACAGAGCCCGATGCAGGGCTTGAACCCACAAACCATGAGATCATGATCTGAGCTGAGGTAGGACACTTAACCGAGCTACCCAGGTGCCCCTCATGAAGTTATGTAGTAAAACATTATTTAATTTCCAAATATTTATAAAATCTCCAGCTATCTTCCCATTATTCATTTTTAATTTAGCTTAATTTTGGCCAAAAGGTGTACTTTGTATGGTTTCAGTCCTTCACATTTTTTGAGATTTATGACCCTGAATACATTCTGTCTTGGTAAATGTTTCATGTGCACTTAGCAAGAATGTATATTCTTTTGATGTTAGGTGACAGTAATCTGTAAATATCAATTATCTCAAGTAGGTTGATAGTATTTTTCTAGCATTCTGTGTGATTACTAATTTTCTGTATACTTGTTCAGTTGAGATCAGTAACTGAGATCAGTTATTGAAACTACCAATTATAATTGAATATTTCTTTTTGTAGTTCTGTAAGTCTTTACTTCATGTTATTTGAAGCTTTGTATTAGGGGCATACACATTTGGGATTATATGTCTCTTGATGTACTAACCCTTGATCATTATGAAATAATCTTCTTTATCCGTGGTCATAGTTCTTGCTTTGAATTCTACTTTAATACTAAAAGTGCCACTTTAAATAAACTTTATCAAGGGGCACCTGGGTGGCTCAGTCTCTGAATTGTCCGACTCTTGATTTCAGCTTAGGTCATGATCTCACGGTTTGTGAGTTCGAGCCCTGCATCTGGCTCTGCACTGACAGTGCAGAGCCTGCTTGGGATACTCTCTCTACCTCTCTCCCTGCCCCTCCCCTGCACATGCTCGCTCTCTCTCTCTCTCTCTCTCTCTCTCTGTCTGTATCCCTCTGTATCTGTCTCTCTCTCAAAATAAATAAATAAATTTTAAAACAACTTTATCAAGATGTATTTTACGTATTATAAAATCCACCTATTTCAAGTGTATAAATTCAGTTATTTTTAGCATCTTTCCTGAATGGTGCAGTCATTGCCATAAATCAGTTTCACAATCTTCATCCTCCCATGAGATCACTCATGCCCACTTACAGTTAATGTCCATTCATATCCCTAGTCTCAGGGAACCTACTTTCTGTCTCTATAAATTTGCCTTTTCTGGACACTTCAGATGATTGGAATCATACAATATGTGATACCTTGTGCTTGGCTTCTTTCATTTGGCATAATGTTTTCGAGGTTCATCCATGATACAGTATGTATCAGTAGTTCATTTTTTTATATTGCTGAATAGTATTCCATTATATGGAACCACATTTTGCCTATCTATTCACTAATTGATGGACATTGCCAGTTTTGGACTTTGATGATTAATACTACTATGAACATTCTCATGTAAATTTTGGGGTGGCTATGTTTTCATTTCTCTAGGTAAATATCTGAAAGTGGAATTGCTGGGTTGTCTACAAGTTTTACATTTGACTTTTCAGGAAACTGCCAAACTAATTTCCAAGATGGCTCCATCCTTTTACATTCCTGCTGGCAATGTATAAGTGTTCCAGTTCACATCCTCATCAACATTTGTTATTGCCTGCCTTATACCCATTCTAGTTGGTGTGAAATAGTGTCTTAAAATGTGATTTTAAATTTTTTTTTTTCAACGTTTATTTATTCTTGGGACAGAGAGAGACAGAGCATGAACGGGGGAGGGGCAGAGAGAGAGGGAGACACAGAATCGGAAACAGGCTCCAGGCTCCGAGCCATCAGCCCAGAGCCCGATGCGGGGCTCGAACTCACGGACCGCGAGATCGTGACCTGGCTGAAGTCGGACGCTTAACCGACTGTGCCACCCAGGCGCCCCTTAAAATGTGATTTTAATTCACATGTTCCAAATGACTAATGATGTTGAACATATTTTCATATGCTAATTAATTAGCCATTTGTGTATCTTCTTTGGTGAAATGTGTGATTGTCTTCCTATTGGATTGTAGGAGTTCTTTGTGAATTCTGGATTCAAATTTTTTATTGGATGTGTGTTTTTCAAATATTTTCTCTTTGTTGTTCAGTTTTTAATTTTCTTAGTGTTTTTTTTTTTCCTTTCAGTATAAAGGGTTTTATTTTTCTGAGATGAGATTATCAGTGTTTTCTTTTATGGATTGTGGTTTTGGTATTATATCTAAGAAATCTTTGCCCAACCCAAAGACTTAAAGATTTTCTTCTGTCCGGGCACCTGGGTGGCTCAGTTAAGCATCCCGACTCTTGATTGCAGCTCAGGTCATGATCTCATGGTTTGTGAGTTCGAGCCCCGCATCAGGCTCTGTGATGACAGTGCAGAGCCTGCTTGGGATTCTCTCTCCTGCTCTGTCTTCCCCTCCCCCTGTTTGCACGCTTCTCTCTAAACAAACAAACAAACTTAAAAAAAAAAAAAAAGATTTTTCTCCTATCTTTTGTAAAAATTGTATTATGAGGTAAGGGTCTAAGGTCCTCTTTTTGCTTATAGATATCTAGTTGTCCCAGCACCATTTGTTGAACAGACTGTTTTTTCCCCCAAAGAATTATCTTGCAGTTTTCTTTTGCTTGGAGTTTGTTGAGCTTTCCTGTCTCTGCTGTGCCTATAAACTCTAGTCAGTGAGTTGGAGCACCCATAGGACTCCCCTCATTTATTTCCCGATTAACAGGAATCAGTGTTCTGTACTGGCTTTTGCTCAATATCTACAAACCGTTGTTTCAATATATTTTGTCTGGTTTCCTACTTGATTAAAGGCATGAAGGTAAATCTGGTCCCTATTATTTCATCATGTCCAGAAGCAGAAAGTGGTCTCTCTTACCTTTCAGCTTTTAAAAACTGTATTTACCTTTTTGCTTATTATTTCCTAAGCTTCTTAAAAAAACAATATGTTTATAACTTGGGAAGATACAAATGATTCTTAATTTAAAAAGAAAACAGGGGCGCCTGGGTGGCGCAGTCAGTTAAGCGTCCGACTTCAGCCAGGTCACAATCTCGCGGTCCGTGAGTTCGAGCCTCGTCGGGCTCTGGGCTGATGGCTCGGAGCCTGGAGCCTGTTTCCGATTCTGTGTCTCCCTCTCTCTCTGCCCCTCCCCCGTTCATGCTCTGTCTCTCTCTGTTCCAAAAATAAATAAACGTTGAAAAAAAAATTAAAAAAAAAAAAAAAGAAAACAGAAGCAGCAGCATGTTTGACATTAGTATCAGAAACATAGTTGTCAGTATTCTTATAACTCATAAGCATGAAATTATAGATCTGATTTAGGAAACAGTTTTTAAAAATTACTGTTAATTTCAAGGTATAAGTTCTACTTAATTATATTTTTCTAAAGAATGTAAAATGTGTGTTTTTTCAAATTATAGGCGATTGTGGAAAAATGTGACAGATTCTCTGAGGGAATCTGAAATCGAGAAAGCCACAGAGCATAAACGTACCCTGGAAGAACGCCAGAGGACTGAAGAAAGGCATCGTACTGAAACAGGCACACCCTGGAAAACCAAATATTTTATTAAAGAGGTTTGTCCTACATGTCTTCAGACTAAAACTTGTTATCTACTGTAGTTTACTAGGCTTTCTTGAGTTGTTATCATTTAGACATCTTTATTTCTAAAAATAGTCCAGCATAACCGTGAGCTTTTTCATGGAACTTTTCACAATTTGACAAAACAAAATAGTTTACCAGCAGTTCAGATGAAATGGCTTTTGGGATTAAGTTGGCCACAAACAAAAATGCTAACATAATCTCCAGTCACAATAATAGAATAGACAATTGACAATTTATTGCCTTTCAAACTACACTGAAACTTTCTGTTCATGTCCAGAGACTACATTTTAAAGGGAGACATGAGAAACTTAATTGGCTACACAAAGGCTAGTGCACTGGCTAGAATCTTTGGAACATTTAAGAAAAAAGAATAAAGTGGGGTGTTCAGCTTAGAAAACCAAAAATTGACCATGCATTATAACCTTCAGATATGTATATGCTTTATCACATAGAAATTTTTTATCAGTTTGTATAGTAGTCCCACGGTAGGTTCAAACTACCAGGAATTTTGAGCTTAACATAAAAAGGAATTGTATAACAATAAAAAAAAATCCAGTAATAATAATGGGGAGTACATTTTATAGTAATGAACCACTAGTTCTATATGAGACCATGGCTTAGGTAGAAGATTTCATGCACTGATTTTGCAGCTAGACCAAATAATTGCCAGATTCTTATCTAAATTTAAAGATCTTTGTTTGGTTTGGTTTATTAGTTTCTGGTAGAACTCAGAGTAAGGTGAATGACTGCAGACCAGAGCTGTTATCAAGAAAAATTTTCTCAGGGCGCCTGGGTGGCTTAGTCAGTTGGTGTGTGATTTCGGCTCAAGTCATGATCTCACTGTTCCTGAGTTCGATCCCCGCATTGGGCTCTGTGCTGACAGTTTAGACCCTGGAGCCTGCTTTGGATTCTGTTCTCCCTTTCTCTCTGCCCTTCCCCCACTTGCGCTCTCTCTCTCTCTCTCTCTCTCTCTCTCAAAAATTCAACAAACATTTTTTTTTCAATTAAAAAAATTTTTTTTTCTTGTCAGCGGTGCCTGATGGCTCAGTGGGAAGAGCATGCAGCTTTTGATCTCGGGGTTGTTCAAGCCCCATGTTGGGTAGAGAGTCTACTTAAAAGGAAAAAAAAAAAGTTTTCTTACTGTAGCCAAGTCTAAAGAAGCCCACTGAATTTTAATATTGGTCCATCAAGAAGGAATTTTCAAAAAGTAATTTAATTTTGATTTTTGCATAGTTATTAACCTTAAAACTCTATTTATTTTTTATTTATTATAAGTTTAAGTTTATTATAGTTGCTTCATTACTTTCATTTTTCTAATCATTGGGTACCTATTATAAATATTGGTCATTTCCATGGATAGGAATAAGAAAAAGAAAGTACTTTACATATCTACTCTTTTAGATGAAAAAATAGAAGTTTGTAATTATTATTCAAAGCTATAGTCTGATAACTGTGGTTTTTTTCATTTCAAACTCATTAAGAAAGCTGAGATATCAGGAACAGATTCTAGGAAGAGAATTCCTAAGGGAAGACCTCTCTAATTCATTAAAAGTGAACTCTGGGGTCTGAGAGCAACTATAATGGCTGCAAGATATAGGGGCGCCTGACTGGCTCAGTTGATAGAGCATGCAACTGTTGACCTCAGGGTTGTTTTGAACCCCATGTTTGGTATAGATATTACTTAAAATCTTTTTTTAAAAAGGTACAATTAATAAGATTTTAAAAGGTAGGCACCCTAATTCTTGCTACTAACATGACATGTAAAGTTGCTACTTCTCATGTATTCTTGGACAGATATTATTAAGAGCCACTGTCAATCTAGCATTCTGTGATGGTTACATCTTTTCCAAAAACAGTACTATAGGAGTTGAGAATTATCAACCAGGTGATTTAATATAAACAACCTAATGGTTGCCATTATTAAAGAAAAATTATTCTGACACTTACTAAAAATGTCAAAGAAAACTTCATTCGGGACTATTGTAGTAAAGAAGAGGGATTATACTTAACTCTGAGTACAAGGACAAGTGGAAATGCGAAGGAGTGGGTGGAAAAGAGAATCTTGGTCGAATATCAAGGATGGGGGTGAGGTAGAGGAACTTGATTAGATATCAAGGGTGGAAGAAGAAGAGTTTAGAAATCAGGGTTTGGAGTAGGGGGGATTCTTAGTGAACTGGCTTATCAAAATTCTTTGCTAAAACTGGGTTCAGTAGGCCATGGATGAGGCCTAGTCAAGAAGAGAACTCAAAGGAGTCTGACTAAAATTCAGTCAAGGAGCTGGGGTGCCTGGGTGGCTCAGTTGGTTATGCGTCTAACTCTTGATTTTGGCTCACGTCATGATCTCATGGTTCATGGGATTGAGCCCTGCATCACTGATGGTGCAAAGCCTACTTGGGATTTTCTCTCTCTCTCTCTCTCTCTCTCTCTCTCTCTCTCTCTACCTCTCCCCCATTTGCTCATGCCTGCTGTCTCTCTTAAATAAGTGAACTTTAAAAAAAAAAAAAAAAAAAGGGGCACTGGGTGGCTCGGTTAAGCGTCTGACTCTTGGTTTCAACTCAGGTCATGATCTCATGGTTTGTGAGTTCAAGCCCCACATCGGGCTCCATGCTGACAGTGTGGAGCCTGCTTGACATTCTCTCTCTCCCTCTCTCTCTGCCCCTCCCCCACTCACTCTTTCTCTGTCTCTAAACTTTAAAAACAAAAAAATCAAAAAATTTAAAAAAAAATTCATCATTTAATGAAATTCATTCAAGGAGAGAGTGAGTCCTTGTCATTAGGAGCCAAGTAATTGCTTGTCTTAAGTCATTTTTGGAATAAGAATAGAAAGATAGATAGATAGATAGATAGATAGAGATAGAGATATATAGTATAAATAAATTGAAGGAGCTATGGGTTAAAGACAGGTTCAGATCTGACTTCTATTTTATTTATTTTTTTAATGTTTATTTATTGTTGAGAAAGAAAGCACACAAGCAGGGAAGGGACAGAGAAAGAGGGAGACACAGAACCTGAAGGAGGCTCCAGGCTCTGAGCTGTCAGCACAGAGCCCGACATGGGGCTTGAACCCACAAACTGTAAGATCATGACCTGAGCCAAAGCCAGACGCTTAGCCCACTGGGCCACCCAGGGTCCCCTCAGATCTGACTTACTTTGCCTAGTCCCATAAACACTGAACTCTACTCTTAGCTACCCTGACCTCAACTGTGTCAAGTCCTGTACTCCAGTATGTGGCTTCATGCATTTCTTTTCCTTGCTTGGTCTTCTCTGGTTGTAGTTCATTCTCTGACTCTAACTTTGCTCCTCGTAGTATCCTATTCACAGGAGCCAGGGAAAACTAATGGGAGTAGAGTTGGGAAATAACTAGAAAATAATACTCAACTACTAGAGTTGAGTAGAGAACGGCTAGTAGCTTGATGACCATTTGTGCTCCACCTGCTGCCTGTCACTCTGTGGGTGAGGCTAAGTCTGCAGTGTCTTGGCAAAATTAGCAGAATTGCTACAAATGACTTCTGCAAATAAAGTGGTGATGGAGCATCAACTAGGTGCCCCCGGACCAGAATTTCTCCCCTGATCCTAGCTAAACCACAGACATTATTTGATGTCTTAAGCACAGAGAATTTTTTCCGTCACAAAAACTCTGTTTTTTTTTGTTTTTTTTTTTATATTGTGTAAAATTTTTATTAAAATATTTCCTTGTATAAAATAAAATAAATATTTCCTTATTATAGTACAAATTAAACAAATTTTGTTGTTTTATTTTTTAAAAATAATTTTCCAGAAAAAATCCTATTACTAAAAGAATAACATTAAATATGAGAAATATAGATGAATAGAGATATAAATAAATATGCTTATGTCTGGTTTTTAAATGTGACAGTAGATGGGGCGCCTAGGTGGCTCAGTCGGTTAAGCACCGACTTCGGCTCAGGTTATGATCTCGTGGTTTGTGAGTTTGAGCCCCGCGTCTCTGTCTCTCAAAAATAAGTAAACATGAAAAAATTAAATAAATAAATAAATAAATAAATAAATAAATAAATGTATGTATGTATGTATGTATGTATGTATGTGACAGTAGAATTCCACCTTAGTGAAGATGTTGCTTCTAGTTTTGGTTACTGATTGTAAAAATATTAGAGGAATTTAATTTATTTTTCTACTTGTTTCAGGGAGATGGCTGGGTTTATCATAAGCCCCTTTGGAAAACAGTTCCAGCAACACAGCCTGCGGAGTGACACACACTATCTGAGACTCGACCAAATGAACTTCTTCTCTGTTTACCCTAAACCCTCCCAGAATGGAGTCATTGCACTGAGTAACCTGCTTCCTGATTGCACAGACTGAATCTGGCTAAACCCGAATGTCCCTGTTAGGGCACCACAGAACTGCAGCAAGACCAAAGTGTTGAAGACGCACGACGGGCCTCTCACCAACCTGTTCATGTGATACGAGCAATATCATCCGAAAACCTTTCACGTGAATTGTTAGATGATTCATCTTTTATCCAGCTCCTGCTCCTAAAGTTAGGTTTAAATCCCCTATTTTTGCATGGGGGCAGCAGATACACACAAGCGTGAGAACTCAGTGATTTTGATTTCTTTATAGTAAAGAGTGAAGTCTCTTTCAGAGTTTGTGCTTTGCTTTCTGTCAGTAACTGAAGTATTCACTGCTCTTACAAACAAACCCAAGAGGAGGAGGACGATGACCCAGAAGTGGATTCAGCCATTGTGCCTGAAATCAGTGTTAAAAAAATCAGCCAGGTTGTAGTAACAAGGCATTCTGTTCCTTCAAAGAGACTGTGTGCCTGTGTCTGAGGAACTTATCCATTATCCACCTCTGTTGGAACTCTCTTTTAAAAAGTATATTTATAAATTGATTAGAATTATAACCATGGAGAATTTTTTCTTCTGAGCATTTTATTATACTTGAAAACAACATTGACTTGAAAAATTTCAGAACATTTTTCAATACCTAGTTTTATTAAATGTTACACTTGAGAGACAATTTTTTAAATGTGTTCATGTCAATATGATGAGATCTTGGCCTTTCTCAAAAACTGAGGCATTAAAGAACAAAGCAAACATTTAAAAAATAAAACTGTTACTTTTTTTTCCTTACCTTTTTTTCACTTGTAGATTAATATCCAGTATTATGTGCTATCCCTCTGAATAAGTATGCTTCATCTTACCTCTGCCCATTCAAATTTAAAACAACTATTCATATTTGTCAGTAATTCAGAAGTTATATATGTGGCTGAGTGCATGTATGGTATGGTTTTCTTTTCTTCTCAAGGAAACTCAAATGCTGAAGAAAGAATATGAAGTGAAAAGATATTAGGAAAAAAGATATCAGGAAGTTGTATTCAGGTACAAATCTCTTTTTTTTTTTAATAAGTATTTTATTGAGGTTGAAGGATTGCTGGCAACTAAAAGAATAGTGCTAATTATGGCTTTCATCATTCATTCAAGTATTTATTGAGTACCTACTTATGGTGCTCAACACTTGTTACTGCAAGCTACCTTAATTTTCCAAGAGTGGTGCCTTACTCTGTTTCTTCTGATGTGGTCTTCCAATCAGTGTGTGTAACATATACCTGTTAGTCATCAGCCATTGTAGGTGGCTGTGTCTCTTGCATCATCATAAGAAGTTTAAGCTTTGTGCTCTGATAAATTGTGTTTTATTGAAGGGTTTAATAGGATGAAAACAGCAAAACAATAATTTTTTCAACAAATTGTAAATTATAAGAGAATAACTGGTTTATGTACAACCATTTTAATGATTCCCTTGTTCATTTTTGCTGTGAAATGCACTGAAAAATCTCAAAATGAGTTATAGTTCATGTGTTGGGAAGATTGAAAAATAATAAAACTAGAGAACAATAATGTCTTTGTCTGTTTTATGAAAGGAGAGAAATAGAAGGTTTGTGTTTAGAGGAGTTAGCCCCCTATTCATTTGAGAGGGACATGGATTTTTTTTCTTTAAATTCTTACCCTCAGGAATCTCTTAGGGAGATAAGGAAGTATATTCAATAAGAGGTTTTAAAAATTAAAATGTTTAAATAGTCTGGAAATAGAGCAAGAATGTAAAATTAAACTCGAGATTTTGTTTTATTCTTTGAACCATTTGAATACTTATTTATTTCTTTCAGTTGTTGAGCCATTTTAAGAATTATTGAAATATGATTTTAAAAATTCTTAAGAAAAAAATACATTTATAAGTAATTGAAATCTCATGATATTGGGTTGATTCTTTGACAAGAGTGAAATAATAATACCAATTTGGGGTAATTATTTTACCTTGTCTCCATCTTGACTTCACTGCAGCTTATCTACCAGATAAGAGTTAGAGGTCTTTTCTGTTTTATTTTTTATCTACATGTTGTTGATAATTAGCCAGAGAAATGAATCTTTGCAGCAGTTGCCACTGATTTGTATCTTTTTCTTTGGGGTCAAAGTTTATTTATTTAAAAAATTTTTTTTAAGTTTACTTATTTTGAGAGAAAAAGAACAAGCGAGCAGAGGAGTGGCAGAGAGAGAGGAGAGAGAGAATCCCAAGCAGGCTCTGCAGTGTCAGCACAGAACCTGATGCAGGGTTCAAACTCATGTTCGAGGTATGACCTGAGCCGAAACCAAGAGTCAGATGCTTAACCCAACTGAGCCACCGAAGTGTCCCTGGATCAAAGTTTTAAATGTGCGCTTTCTTTCTGGCTTTTCGGAATTGTGCGTTAAGAAGTCCAAGAGCAGTAGTGACAAAAAGACAATGTTCTGGCCATTTATTTGGATTTTTTTTTCTTTTTACCATGATGATAACACTTATCACCCTATCCCTTCTGTCAGATGTTTGTATTTAAGCTCCATCATTTATATTCTAATTAATTACATTTTGAATAGATAGTTTTGAAGCCCTGAAAGTAATTTTTAGGTTGTGTATTGGGTGAGATATGGCATCTACATATTGATTCCCTGAACTCTTCAGTTGTAACCAACGTCACCTCTAATGCCTACTTGTCACCAAAAATAATAAGAAAAGTATTGAGTTTCTCATTCTGTAATTCTAGTACTTTACTCATAACTATAAATATCTGGTACTTGATGAACCAACTTCTACAGATTAATTCTTTAAAAAATTTTTTTCTATAGATTAATTCTTAAAGGATTTATTAATTAATTATATAAGTATGAAATTTTGTTTAAAATATTGCCTTAAGATGAAGGCTAACTTCTATTCAATGTGCTCCTCCAAAGAAAGGCAATTTTGTGTGATCACTCCACAGTCTACACTTGGGAGGGATTCCAGTTCCTTAGAGTTAGTACAGTGACTGGAAGCCGAATGGTGATTTAGCAAAGATAGTGGGAGAAGAAAGAGAAGATGAGTCTACCAGATGGGAATATAAAAGACAAGTTCATATACATGAAAATGAAAATTCCAGTAAAACATATATTCTAGTGGCATAAAATCCCTCCTTGCCCGAAAACCAAGCTGCACAGGAAATCGTTACATATTACAAAGCTTTTGCACATGTTTTCACTACTTGATGTTCACAGTAACACTGTGAAATTGCAAAGTCAGGGATGGCCATTCCAACTTTGTAGATGAAGAAATTATTGCTCAAAGTTTAGTGCTCACTTCATATAGCTAGACCTTCCACAAACATCTGTTAAGTATTCCTTTGGGGCCAGATGATGCGTTAGACTCGATGTGACAAATACTATCCCTATCTTTACAGGCTTACGTGAAGGAAGAAACCAAAACCTAAATTCCTGAAAATGAGTCGTTGACAAGGGCAAGGCTAACTGGTCTTTCCAACCCCTAGAAAGGCTTCGTGGTACCTAGGTTCTTTGGAAGGCAGTTGATCAATGAGTTGAAAATGAGGGATTTGGGGGGTACCTGTCTGGCTCAGTCAGTAAAGTATGCAACTCTTGATCTTGGGGTCATGAGTTCAAGCCCCACATTGGGCGTAGAGCTTACTTAAAAATGATAATGAAAAAAAATGTTAAAGCAAGGAGTTTGGCTCGAAGTCTACATAAGAAGCCCCAAACAATGCAACTAGGTGACTAACCCTTGTTCCACCCTACAAGACTGGAGAGATTGAACGAGAGAGGTTTCCAATTCAGGAACACAAGTTGATAAATTGAAAATGAGGAACAAGTTAAAGTCTACATACTTAAGTACGAGATCTCACAGCATCTTTCCCTATCCCATTCCCCAAATATTGGCAGTCAGGCTTATCTCTTTAGGCAAGAGATGAAAAGATCCTTTTTGGGGTTTCTGCATTGCAAAGCAAACAACCAACAAAACTAAAAGGCAACTGACAGAATGGGAGAAGATATTTGCAAATGATGACATATCAGATAAAGGGTTAGTAGCCAAAATCTATAAAGAATTTACCAAACTCAACACCCAAAAAACAAATAATCCAGTAAATAAATGGACAGAAGACATGAATAGACCCTTTTCCAAAGACATCCAGATGGCCAACAGACACAGGAAAAGATGCTCAACGTCACTCATCATCAGGGAAATACAAATCGAAACCACATTGAGATACCACCTCACACTGATCAGAGTGGCTAAGATTAACAACTCAGGAAACAACAGATGTTGACGAGGATGTGGAGAAGGGAAACCCTCTTGCACTGTTGGTGGGAATGCAAACTGGCATAGTCACTCTGGAAAACAGTATGGAGTTTCCTCAAAAAGTTAAAAATAGAACTACCCTATGACCCAGCAATAGCACTACTAGAAATTTATCCAAAGGATACAGGAGTGCTGATTCATAGGGGGCACATGTACTCCAATGTTTATAGCAGCACTTCCAACAATAGCCAAACCATGGGAAGAGCCCAAATGTCCATCGACTGATGAATGGATAAAGAAGATGTGGTTTATATATAGAAAGGAATATTACTTGGCAATGAAAAAGACTGAAATTTGTAACAATGTGGATGGAACTGGAGGGTATTATGCTAAGTGAAATAAGCCAGAGAAAAGCAGACATCCTATGTTTTCACTCATGTGAAACTTGAAAAACTTAACAGAAGGTCATGGGGGAAGGGAAGGGGAAAAATAGTTTCAAACAGAGAGGGAGGCAAACCCATAAGAGACTCTTAAATACAGAGAATATACTGAGGGTTGATGCGGGGGCAGGGGGAGGCAGGTGAGAGGAGAAAATGGGTGATGGGCATTGAGGAGGGCACTTGTGGGGTGAGCACTGGGTGTTGCATGTAAGTGATGAACCACCCCTGAAACCAAGAGCACACTGTGTATACACTGTATGTTAGCTAATTTGACAATATATTTTTAAAAATGAATGAAAGATCTGAAGAAAAAAATCGTTTTTGGGGGAACAACTCCAGAAAAAAATTACTACAGATATATTTGGAGGGTCCACCAACAAAAAAAATTCTCAGTTGACAATCCTGTTAACTACAGTAAAGCCAAGTCACTAACATAACCTTTCACCAGGAATCTACACACATCCATCCTCCCACCAACACATTGTATATATAGACAACACATTACATCTCATTTTAGCAGCTGAAGATCGGCAGACATTTGAAGAAAGATTCTAGCGAATAAAAAAAAGACCAAACAGGAAAAAATTTTGAGGAAATCCATAATTCAGGAAATGGTGGGAAATAACTTTGAAAAAAATTAAATCCTCAGATGAGATCGTCTTGCTTGTATGAAACACAAATGCTTATTTTAAATGGACTGTTGAGGGAAAAAGAACATGTCTTGGAAATTAAAAATATGATAGTTCAAATTAATCACTCAAAAGAAGTTATAGAAGGTAAGTAAGGGTAAACTCTTGGCAAATAGAACAAAAGGACAAAAGATGGACAATAGGAGAGAAATACAAAAATTAGAAGAGCAATCCAGGAAGTCTAACATATAGCTAGTGAAGATTCAAGGAATTAAAAACCAGAAGGAAAAATATTAAAAATACATACATTTTATATATATATATATATATATATATACACACACACATATATATATGTACAAGACAGTTCCCAGAATTGGATGACATGAATCCAAATGAAAATGCCATGAATATCCTGCACAATAAGGGAAAAATGAAAGCCCCAAACAAACCACATCATTGTGAAATTTCTAACACTAAGGGCAAAGAGAAGATTCTAAAAACAATAGCATCAGGCTTTTCAACATCACTGAAAGCTAAAAGGCTAAAGAGAAATACTTCTAGTTTTGCCTAGAATTTTATCCCCAGCCAAAAGACGAATCTGACATGCAAAATTTAAAACAGTTTTGTCTTAGCTGTTCCTTTTCTGGAAGCTATGAAAAAGCACATGCTCCAGCAACACATCAGAGGAGGGGAAAAAAGCAGGAATTGGAAAGATAAGAAATCAAGAAAAACAGGACCCAACAGAGGAAAGAGTCAAAGAGAGGCATCCACTCTACAATATCTAGGTGGTCTCCCAGGATCTGCTCCTCCAACAGCTATTTTATCTGTGGACAACACTTTATACCAAAGTTCTTTGTACCAGGATCTGTCTCAGTTCTAATGGAGTTCATATAAGATGAGAACATTTTTTCTTGCACGTAGCAATACTTGGTATCTTTGAATGTCCGTTCTCCCAATGCTAATATTCTGAGGTTATTCAGCTGGGCTTCATATGGCGAGGTTTCATCTTATGATCAGTTTCCTGAGAACGCACCATGTCTCAATGTTATGTGGACTACTCAGAAGAGGTCAGAATATTGCAAGTGGAGTCTTGTTTTAGACCCATGATGTCTTTTTTCTAACAGCTTTGTTGTTGTTTTTAACGTTTATTTATTATTGACAGAGAGAGACAACACATGAGCATAGGAGGGACCGAGAGACGGGGAGACACAGAATCCAAAGCAGGCTCCAGGC